TACTAAATTTAAGAATCAATACCACAATTAACCAAGGAATTAGAAATATATTTTCCAAAAGATCCAACTCCTCCCCTAACAAATGCAAATATCTTTTTTACTCCATCCCATCTGAATACAGGGTCTCAACTGTGGAGGAAGAAACAGGTAAAAAAACCGCCCATTTCAGTTCGATACATGAATATTCTTATTAAAAGGGCTGTTCAGATATTATGATTTGGATATTGGATTACAATTAAGATATTACGACTTTATATACAAGGGAATGGGTGTACCTCTGTTCAGATACTGAACCGAGAGTCTGTGTTCCATAATCACTTTTGGCGTTAAGTGCACCAATATAAATCTTCCCATCTTTGCCACCAGCATAGAACAAAGTCCCGCCAGGATCCAATGCAAGCGCATTAATGGTTGAAGGAAAGACAATATTTCTCAACAACAAACCTTTCGACAGGCTCCAAACCTATGAGTTTGAAAATCAAACCAAAGTTACGTGAAAGAAAGAAACAAAACATATAGAAACAGAAAGCTTCAACTTTAAGAAAAGAAAAATCGTGAAAAATCTGGCCTTTAAGGATCAAACTTTTTGTTTCTGAAGCAATCATATCTTCTTTTCATAGTTTCAGACATGTCTATTTATGTGAGCAATCACTAAACTAGAATATGATAAAAGAGAGCATATTGTTTGCCAAAGCCGAAGATACAGGTTCATAAGGCTTCATCTGAAGAATCCTCCCTTGAAGCACAGTAAATTAATAAGGCTCAAAGCTATGTTTCTAAAGAAAGCCAATCTTGTCCACGGTTCTTGGACATGTCAATAAAAGTATGCACATCATTTAACCATAATAAAAAGGAAAGCTTCATCTTTGCTAAAGATAAAGTTTATCATACCTTATGTTTATGATTACAAGTCACGGTGTCCAACTTGTTGTAAAGCATTGCAGTTGTTTATCAATATAAAGACCAGCGTTCCAAAGAAGTACCTTGCAAGTCCGATCTTCTGAAGCAGAGACCATGATTGCATTGCAACCACCATAGTCCGTAACAACATCGGTTACAGGCATTGTATGTTCATTAAAACTGTGTTCGT